TACACATAAGTCCAAAAATCTCACCATATACAACCTTGAAGCAGGACAGTTCCACAATATTCCTTTTCCTATCTCTTGCCTTCATTCACCACCCCTAAGAAGTATTTAAAGAGGTACATATGTATAAAGTGATTCAGAAGTACCAGGTGATTTGTACTGTCTTTAAAAAACAAATAAACAAACAAAGCTCAAATAAGCAAACAAAAAAACTCCACCAGGTAACAGCATTGAGCTGGGGGACCTTACCTAGTTTAAGGGCTCAGGGACACAAAAGATTTATTTGTAGGAACTGAAAAATTACACACAAACTGCATGTCTGAGGTAGGGGACAGGTTGAATTATGAACACTGCTTCTTTTCTAGTTAGGCTTGCAGGCTGTACCTGCAGACGAGCTGAGTTCACATCCTTTCTGTCACTGGTTGGCTAAGTGGTAAAAGATTAATAGTTGAATTAATCTTTTTCTATTTCCCTATAAAATGAAAGAAACTCTACCCATCTCACAGTGTTATCATGAGAACTAATAGAATTAATACATTTAAGATGCTTATGGTAGTACCAAATAAATGATCAATAAAAGTTAAGTATTTTTAAAAATCAAATTTATATCTATTTGATATACTATAATATAGACATTGAAAATAATAATGCAAGGAATTAAAAAATTTACGTATACAAATTATCTAGGAGAGTTTGTGATAAAAAATCAGACTTCTAACCATCCTCAGCTCCATTTCTAGAGGCAACTTTTTTTTTCCATAATTTTATTGATAAACAAATAGCACTGAGACAGTTTCAAAACCAAATTGGTAGGACAGTTTCAATAATTAACACATTGCATACATTCTTCCTAGTGGTTGTTTGCTGTACAAGATGCAGACATGATATCCTATTTACAAACTCTATTAGAACAAATCCTCTAGAGGCAACTTTTAATTAATTAATTGATTAATTTGTGTGTGTGTGTGTGTGGCCAGCTCAGCCCACCAGGGGGCGGGGCTGGCTGGCATGTGGTGCTGGGGGATTGAACCGCGGTCCCTGTGCTTTGCTAAGCTTGTTCTAAGTAGGTGCTTTAGACCACTGAGCCATCTCACCAGCCCTAGAGGCAACTTTTAAAAAACTATTTCTTTAGTTCATTAGTAGTATAATATAAAATAAAAATATTGTTCTCACATCTGAGTTTTGAATTTTACATGATATTTATTTGTTCCCTACAGTAAACAGTGTGTCTCTTTCCTTCCCTTTCTCTCCTTTCCAAATTTGATAATATTATTTTTATTCCATTGATTACCTTTGAGGTTCTAAATAATGTACCTATTTCTTTCTCCCATCGGCTTTTATTTTATTTTATTGTTATCCAAAGAATATTTGTGCATGGCTTAGAAAGCTGACCTATACTATAAAACTTGTCAAGAAAATAGCAGCCCTTTGCTCCATCTATTTTTATTCCTAAGGTTCATTTAATTTTTTGATAGCCATAGGCGCAGAAGGTTGAGTTAATCATGCTCATGAAATCGCAAGTGTATGCCTCTATTCATTTGTGCCATCTCCTCCTGTCTTCTTTTATTGTTCCAATCTCAATCTCTCTCATCTGATAGACACCTGCTATAATATGTTTGTTGTACACATTGTCTTATTTTGTGTGTATGTTAGAATATGAAATATTTATACATGCATGTAACATTAGTAACATACATAAATATTATAGTGCTGTAGACATTTTTCCTACTCAGCTGTGTGTTTTTACATCTCATGCATGCTGCCACAGGTACATTTCATTCATTCTTCTACCCACTGCCTGGGGCTCTGGTGGACATCCCCTCACTTAATTTACCTTCAGTCTAAAGGAAGCAGTCATTCTAAGCTCTTTAAATTACTTTGCTGATATTTTGTGTTTTTTAAATTAATTTTATTGAGAAATAAATAGCAATGAGTCAGTTTCAAAACAGGTTAGTGGAACAGTTTTAATGATTAATACATTGCATATTGTTGTCTTCGTAGTAGTTATTCATAGTACAAGATGAGACATGATATCCTGTCCAGACACTATTAGTACAAATGTTTCTTCTCACTGAATTAAGAGAAAGAAGCTGTATATCTATCCTAACTATTTTGTATATACAGATACAAAATGGTCCTTCATTTATATCCCCCCTTTTTTTGTTTAGTTTTGTCAGAGATTGGTATTCCATTGCCACTGAAATATTGTAGGTGCATAAATTAATGTGTGTTTGTTTTTGTGGTACTGGGGATCAAACCCAGGACCTTTCGCTTGCCAGGCAGGCACTTGTGTTGCTGAGCTGTATCTCCGGCCCTATCCACATGCATTTTGCTTCTATTTCTATTTCTTGTTTGTTTTCAATTGTAGGTGTCACCTACTGATTACTTTAGTAGAAGTAAAGATCTAAATTTCTTTATGTAGCTCCTCTTTCAGCTACCTCAACTTCCCTCCTCTCATTTTTCAATGCACTTGAGTAATTTTTTAATGTTCTTATGCCCCATTTTTGTCTATCTCACCGTTCATTGTTTTCATTAAGATTATGTAAATAGACCACGGGCTGAACTGGCCCTGTTCCCAGGGACATTTATTTAACAGGGAGTCCATGAGCTGGCCACCAAGTCTGGGTGTGGTGGTGCATGCCTGTAATCCCAGCGCTGGGGAGGCTGAGACAGGAGGATCACTCCAGGACCGAGCTGTGTAGTGAGACCCTGTACTAAGTACAAAACAAAACAAAACAAAACAAAACAAAACAAAACAAAAAAAAGAGAAAAGATTATGTAAATATTGTTTGAAACAGAAGAACTGTATCACCCACTCCTGTGGTGCCGCCTTTCTTGTACAACAGGATTTCAGCATGTTGAAGGAATGGACTTGGAGCAAGACAGCCTAGTCTCAAATTCCAATTTTGACAGCTGATTGTTGTGTGACTGGGCTAACTGCGCAACCTCTCTATGCTTGCTTGCTCCTGTAATTAAAATGACTTACAGGGAATGTCTCACTTACTATTCCTACTTTATCTGGATCTTCTTTTTATTTATTTATTTATTTGGTACAGGGTCTCGCTACCCAGCTCAGACTCATAGTGATCCTCCTGTCTCAGCCTTCCCAGCTCTTGGATTATAAGCATGTGCCACTACACCTAGTTTTGGCAGTTGGCACTGTATGCCCAGGATTCCGGGGCAGCACAGCAGGCAGTCCCAGTGATCAAACCCCAGTCCTTGTGTTTGCCAGGCAGGTGCTTAGACCACTGAGCTATCTCCCCAGCCCTCTATTCCTTTCTTAATCCCCTCTATTTTATTTTTTTTTGTCTATATCTACTCTACATCTACTAATCATTTCCTTCATTATGGTCATCATCTTTTTGTTTTTGTTTTGTTTTTGTCAAGTGACTAACTGACCCGTTTTGTGACTTCTCCTGCCTCCGTTTAATGAAATTCAGTGAGGAAATCTTTTATTTCTTCCACTTCAGTGTGCCCTTGATTTACTTCGGGTGAACTGGGGATGATGGGGTGCATCTTGCTTCAGCATTTTCTCATTTTCTGTTTTTCAAATTTGCATTTTGTACTGAGGCTTATAAATTTCTTATGGCAGGCAGTTTTATTACTACTATTGAGACCCCCTAGGAAATGACAACTTTTCAGAGATGTCTTCTAGGTATCTCTGGCGTCTGGCTTTTGAATGTGTCCCAGGATCCTGCCTCTTCTGTTTATTAGGAATGAGAGGGTGCTGTCTGCTTGGCCTAACACCCAGTTTTTTGGTACTATACTGTAGTGTTGTTTATGATCCCCAGACAGCCTAGATATTGGCATGCAGAGAAGACAAATGGATCACAACTATGTTTTCTTGGCTAAAGTGGTACAATCAGAAGTAACAACAGCATCAAACACAGAATAGAAAAGAAAATGGCAAACTGTGATAACTAATAATTTGCCAACTTTCACCATAGGTACAAGATCTACAGTAACATAAAAAAATGAGAAAAATCAGAAAATTCTGTACAGTAAATACCCACTCAATAGAGCAATTTTACCCCTAGTGGATAAAAGTTAAAAAGGATAAGAAGCAAAAAGTAGATACACAAAAAAACAAAGAGATTAGAAACAAGGCTAAAAGAGCAAAGAGATTACTCAAGCCTCAGGAACTTGCTAAGATAGGAAAGAAAAAAAGGGAAAGACAAGAGTAAAACAAAACAAACCTAAAAACAATATTCACACTCATTAAAAAAAAGAAAAAAAAACCCAAAAACAAAGGAGGAGGGAGAAGAAGAAATTTGTAATTTAAAGCATGTGGGTGTCTTCTGGGGTCTTCAGTTCTGTGGCCGTGTCCAACTCAAAAACAGTGGTTAGATGCCACAAAGTAGGTGGCAGTGCCTTAACCGTATGCGTGTTGTCAGGCCTGAGGGCTTCTTCCATCCTTGTCAAGGGGAGTGCTAACCTTCTCTCCTTTCATACAACACTATCTGGATCTTCTTGACCATATTTTTCTTCCAAATCAACTTAGAAATTATTTAATTACACTTCCTCACCAAAATCCATTAAGATTTTGGTAGTGTTAAACTTACATGTTAATTTAGGAAGAATTAAAGTTTCAACCTTTCCCCAAAACATAGGGCTTAGATTTATATATGC